CAATTGAATGTTCTATAGAAAATCACAAAATGGTAAGTGTTGCTATTTTAAATAGTTTCCATAATAGTAAAGGGGTTGGTTAAACAGTAAGTCATTCAGTTATCATATTTAACTGTAGCAAAATGATTTACTACTAAGTTTATTAACCATTTGTTAAAATTAGAGTTACGAATGAAAACATAGCTACATACATAGAGGATTATCCTAAGAATATGTTTTACGCCAAACATTATAACTAATGAAACATACATTATATATATATATATACTTATGAAGTGAAACATTAAGCTTGTATGTCAAATTATTATATATTATTTAGAAATTTAAATAATTGTTATCATGAAAAACCCATTATTCTCAGGATGATAATTGTAAAAAGTATTTTATGCAAATTAAATATAGAAGTGAAAACTATACTACAGTACATTAAACATGTACTAACTCATGAAAAATACAATCGGTTGTAGAATAATAATGTAACTGTCTGGTTCAATATAAATAAAAACGAAACATTAAGTATGATAAAATCGTTTCAGGAGAGATAATTGTAAAAGTATGTAAAGTAAACTATGATATAATATTTACCTTGTTCAAGTATTGGGTAAATTAAAAGAGTATGTGTGATAAAAACTGAAATTATTTATTACAGTAGTACTTAATAGTAGGAATCGGGATGAAACAACATGGCAGCTATAAAAATCGCCCGTTTAAAACCACTTTTAAAATATCTGAATATTAACAATGATTATGTCACAGTATTGGCCGAGCAAAACTAAAGCTTATTGTACTTATAAAGCTGCCTAAGTTGCTATATATTTGCTCATGGAGTGAATCAAAATTTCACTATTTCATCGAATTTTCATCTAAGTAAGCTATTGACAAGCGTACAGAAAATATGACGAACCTTATCACTCTAATTCTTTCACGAACTCTTCCGTCTGGGGTCCCAGTGATTCCTTTCTTGTCCTGCTACTTTTGGCATATAATTAGATTTGAAGGTAGCTAGGAAGAGCTCCGAATGAATAATAAAATCGAATTGGGTGTACCCGCCGCCTCACGCTTGGTATTATAAAATTAATCTATTTATTATACTTGTACATAATTCACTATGCTATAATAGTTGTCTCGTTAAAATAATGGTTTTACTTGTAACTTTTCAGGACATATCAAATTTAGAAGTGAAAACTACAATGTTTATGACGTAATCACCCTCTGATGAGCTCATCATCGTATTGAATTATTCATTTATAAAAACACCATCCGCCCTAGCAGCACTAACCTCAGTAACACAATTTGCCAAGTAATACCATCTTCCTATAGAACCTTAGTAGCATCCGCCTTTGTAAATGAAAACTATAAACTTAATTTGAGACAAGTTGAACTCTGTATGCAATCCTACGGAAGTATAGTAACACTGTCTGCTTTTGTAAGACACACAATACGCCTACTAAGACCATCTGCACATAAAAACACTATCTTTAATAGCACAACCCACCTTCAGTACCTTAGTAACACCGTCCATATAACCTTAGTAACAGTTCTCTGGTATCGAACTCTGACGTCGTCGTTCTGATGCGGCTGTTTCGGATGTCATCGCCCTGTGGTGGCATCCTTTGTATGTTATGAAACCCCCAGATGTCGTCATAACTTGCATATTACATAATGATTATGTAACCCCAAGCAGCATCCTTTGGGTACAAGGGTATCTCGATGACAACTACATAGTAATATTTTATAATTTTACAAGAAAAGTCTAAACAAAAGATAAGATTGTGGCCTGCACATTATTTGTCTACACAGCTTAATACTTCTGATGCTTAACAAACATTTAACTTTGTGATGGCACCAAAACAAGACAGATTATCATGCCTATTAATTTTTGATTATTGATAAGAAAGCTTTTGGAGTAGCATACGTACATATATAGCTTTTCCTGTTTTTCCAGGCTAACCACCCTCAAACATTAAAGTACAGCTTCAATAGTACATTAGTGAGTTATCTTGCAGTAAGCCAGGCCATGAAATACCAAATGCTAGGATTTGGTGGTCATCATTATAACCTTTTATGACTTAAGATTTATCAAAGTAACAACTATACTAAAGGCTGCAGATTTAGGATTTGGAGATAAGATGTAAATGTATGAAAAATCTACGATTTCAATCTTACCAAAGGCACAACTATGGTAAGGGCTGGTGATTTCCAGTTTGGGGATTTGAGTATGCTATAAAGGGTTACGGTTTCATACACACAAAGTGAGCAACCATACTAAAGGCTAGTGAGTTGGAATTTAGAGGTTTGATATTTATGTATGAAAACAATATGACTACAGACTTGCCGAAGGAATAACTATAAAACGAGCTGATGATTTTCAGTTTGAAAATTTGGTACTTATGCAAAAAAGCATATGATTTTAGACATACCAAAGGAACAAATATTTTAGTCTGCTAATTTTCTATTTATAGATTTGATGTTGATGCAAGAAATTTATGATTTCAGTCTTACCAAAGGAATAAATTTCGTAGAAATTGCTCCTTTTCAATTTGGAGATTTCACTTTGATGTAATAAAGGCCTATAATTTCCGACTTACCAAAATAACAACTATAGTAAGAGCTTTTGATTTCCAGTTTGAAAATTTAATGTTATTATAAAGGCCCACGAATTCAGGCACAATAAAATAACAAACATACTAAAGGCTCGTGATTCAGAGTTCAGGGTTTAATGTTAATGTATAAAATGCCTACGACTTCTTATTTACCAGAGGCACCACAATAATATGGGATGGTGATTTCCAATTTGGAGATTTCAGATTGATGCAAGAAAGGCATACGATTTCAAACACACCAAAGGAACAAGTATAGTAAAGGCTACTTATTTCTAGTTTGGACATTTAAAGATGATATATGACAGGCTTATGATATAAAAAGCAGAAACACAACTATAGTAGGCCTTGTGATTTCCTGTTTGGTGTTTTCATGTTGATACGATCAAGGTCTATGATTTCAGACATAACAATGGAACAACTATAGTAAAAGCTGGTGATTTCCAGTTTGGATGTTTAATTTTGATGCAATAAAGGTCCATAATTCAAGACTTACAAAAAGAATGACTCTACCAAAGTCTTCTGATATGGTTTCAGATTTATCAAAGGAACAATTATAGTAAAGGCTTCAGATTTCCAGTATGGAGATTTGTTGTTGATACAGTGAAGGCCGATAATCTAATTCGTATATGTACAAATATACTAAAGGCTGCTTAATTCCAGTTTGTAGATTTGTTTTTCATGCAATATGGGCCTGTAATTTTAGATCTACCAGAGGAACAACGAAAGTAAGAGCTGGTGATTTCCAGTTCAGAGATTTGATGTTGATCCAAAAAAGAGCATATGACTTCAAACTTACCAGAGGAACAACTAAAGTAAAGGCTTCTGATTTTCATTTGGGAGACTTGTTGTTTATGATATAATGACCTAAGATTTCAAATGTACCAAAAGACCAACTATGGTAAGTTGCTGGTGATTTCCAATTAGGTAATTTGATGTTGATGCAATAAATTACTCTTAATTCACACTTACCAGAAGCATGATTATAGTAACGACTAATCATTTCCAGCTTGCATATTTGATGCCAATGCAAGAAAGGCTTACAATTTCAGACATACCAAAGGAACAAATAGTAAAGTCTGCTGATTTCCAGTTTGTAGACTAGATGTTCGTTAAAGAATTTCATACATGTCATAGACACATTTATAGTAAGGGCTAGTGATTTCAATTTTGTAAATTTGATACAGTTGCAAAAAAGACCTACGACTTCAGACATACCAAAGGAACAACTATAGTAAGAGATGGCGATTTCCATTTGAAGATTTGTTGTTGATTAGTTTTGAAATTTGATATTAATGCGAGAAAGGTCTGTGATATCTGACTTACTAAAGGAACAGCTGCAGTAATGAAAGATGATTACCAGATTAGAGATTTGTTATAGATCCAATGAACGCCTATTATTTCCTACTTACAAAAGGAACAACTATAATAAATGCTTGGTATTTCCAGATTGGAGATTTAATGTTGATACATTAAAAGGCCTATGATTTTGGGACTCACAGGGGAAATGATTATAGTAAAGCCTTCTTATTTCCAGTTTAAAGATTTTTTGCTGATTCAGTAGGGACCTATGTTTTCAGACTTACGAAAAGATAAACTAAAGTGAAGGATATTGATTTTCAGTTTTGATATTTGTTGTTGGTGCAGTATAGGTCGATGAGTTCAGATTTAATAAAAGTAACAACTATATTAAATGCTTTTGATTTCCTGTTTGAAGATTTGATGTTGATGTACATAAGGCCTATTATTTCAGACTTGACCTGTGGCACTATAATAATGTCTGCTGATTTCCAGTTTGGAGATTTGAGATTTATGTAAGAAAGGCCTATGCTTTAGATTTACCAAAGTAACAAATATAGTAAAGACTGACTGCTTTCCAGTTTGGAAATTTGTTGTTTACGCAGTAAAGATCTTTTATTTCAGATTTACAAAAGGAACATTTATCGTAAAGGCTGCTGATTTCTAGTTTGTAGATTTGGTAGTGGTGCAAGACAGGCCTACAACTTCAGACATACCAAAGAACAAACGTAGTAAAGGGTGCCGATTCCCATTTTGGAGATTTAATGTTGATATAAGAAAGGTCTATTATTTCACACTTACAGGATGGCGATTTTCAGTTTAGAAATTTGATGTTCTTGCAAGAAAGGCCTATGATTTCAGGTATATCAACGAAACAATTACACTAAGGGCTTCTGATTTCCAATTTGGAGATTTGTTATTGATGTTACAAAAGCCTATGATTTCAGACTTACCAGAGGAACAAATATTGTAAAGGCTGCTGATTTGTACTTTGGATATTTGAGGTTGATGTAAGAGAGGCTTATTATATACTAAGGGCTGATGATTTCCAGTTTGGAGATTTCATGTTGATGTAAAAGAGGTATGTGATTTCAGACTTACCAATGGAACAACTATAGTAAAGGCTGGTATACCAAGAAGGATGGCATTGTTTTTCAAGAGTTCTTCAATCTTCAAAAAACATCCTTCAGTATATATTTTCTCTTCCACATCCTCTTGCTAGAATGACATTAAGCAACACGTAAAAGATGTGAATTAATTAGGTCAAGTAATCCCTTGGATCGTTGAGCTCTAAAGACATATGAAATATTCGAAGTAACAAAATTCTTAACGTGTTGCACTATCTACAATCATATTTCCACTTTATAACTAAAACCAAGTACTTTTCTTCAATCTCTAACTTTCTGTTCTTAGCAGCTAAAATTTATTAATTTTATTAGATAAAATATACTAATTAGTTAAACTTATCATCAATAAAAATGCTTGATGACTTTTTTCATATATGTTGGTTTTGAAGAAGCACAAAATTATAATAAAAGACAAATTACACAAGCTGTAAAATTGTAACTATATTATAAAGTAATATAATAAATAATCTGTACACTTGACATGGTCATACTAAGTGGAACAGCAAAACTAAAGAAAAGAGAAAAATGTAGTTTCTAGGAGTTTAAAAAAATTCAATTAATTTAGAGCTGCTTTCACCTTTTTCAAATTATAACTGTTATTTAGTATTCCGATACTTTCCAGAATTATAAGAAGTAAAACTTATTGTTTTAAATCATACTTACGGCCTTTGATGAAGTATTTGTTATGTCATAGCCACACATCAAATTCACGAGCTCCCCCTGGGAATAAAGCAGAGCATTGGATTTTAATTGTTTTGTTTTTCAGGTTATCAGAAGTATCAGCAAGATTTCCCTAATCATGATAAAATGATTTAACCTATTCATACGAAAAGAAACAAAAAATACCATATATTTTAAGAAACGATATTTTTTACGAACACAAGCGAGTTGGGTAACTTTTCACTTCCTCTTTAATACCTTAGATCTGTACTACGATAACTTCAGATAAATCAAGCAATTCATCTTCACTAACAAAAGTATTCGCACCAAAGTATTTATAATAACCTACTTTTTGAAAATGCACGCTAATGAAAACTTTATGATGGTGGGAAGTAATTCTAATAATATACTTTGTGTTATTTCTTAAAACTCTTGTATTGTGGTAAATTTACTTGAATATTAATTAGCAGTTTTTAAAAAACTTAATAATAGAAAAGAGAAAGGTTTTAGTATTTCAAGGTTTTCTGGCAAAACAGAAAAGTCAGGGCCCACAAAAACATGAGGTCCGTTGATTTCGTATGCGCAGGCCCGCCGACGGGGGCAAATGGGGTAACTATCCAGGGGCCCGGGCGAATGAAATCTGGTTATGTCGTAAAGCCCACAAAGCATCTTTAGACTATATCTTCATTTAATGATAAAAACCGTAGTTTTTTGCTTTTCTTTGCATATAAACGCTTGATACATTAAGAACGACTGAAATAATAATTTGAGTAATAATTAATATGTATTTGTTGCTTTATAGATTTAATAGATATTTGTTGTTACTTTATTAACGTTTTTACGCTTATACCGTGAGGTAAAAACGGCTGCTGCTATGATTCTGTCTGGTTTATGAGCTCGTTGACGTCCTAATTAAAGATCTTTTTTTAAATTAATTCTTGAAAATGTTAAAAAAAGAGAGAAAGAAAGAAAGGGGGCCTGTGCTGGCTCTCGACGTTCCTGTGTATGCGGGTGTATTTCCCAACGGGTGTGATGATTGGACCACAAATAATAAGACAGGACACAAGATTTACGCTATGAACCAACTTTCGATTTAAAGTTTGATAGGTTAGAGAAAAAGAAAAAAAAGCCACTACATAGTACTACAAATGGAGCGCAAGTGATTCTGTGTTTATAATAAAAACAAACATTTCTGTGACTAGCAAAAGCAATGAAGACAATTAAATAACAGGCTCTTTCTATTTCATGTGCTCCCCCTCCCTAGACTGATATATATATATATATATATATAATTACAAGTCGAGTGTGTCCTCAAGTTTAAATGTAACACAGTATGTTAACTCTCAGCTCAACCTTTCTGAGTAATAATAATAAACCGCATTATCATGTTGGCAAGTTATATACTATTCATTCACTGGCAAGCTTAAACAAATGCTTAAATACTAAATTAAATTATGGGCGAAAGCCAATCGGCGCCTGCACAAACAGAAACTATAACTACACAAAAGTGCACAAACTTGTTAATGTGAACTGAAAGTAAATACTTTAAGGTTTCTCACATAAAAAAGAAAATTACAAAACACCGTGTGAAAACCTAGTGAAAGTCTGTTAAATTCCTTGTAAAATATATATAATATATCTGATACAAAATTTCATAAATTATATGTGAATTCTGCTCTCTCAGACTTCACCATTGTTTTAAATAAGCCATGAATTTCTAACATAATAAAACAATGATTGTGTCTGATTGTGTCGCTTTATCAGTTGGTCTTCTTCACAATTATAAAGTGCACAGACCTCCATCCACCTGGCTGCCTGATCCTGGCAGTGGCACTGTAAAATCGTGACCTGTTGTAGCGTCAGTTGCTGGCATATCTCAGTTGGGGACTTTATCAGAAGCTCTACCCCTTCTGTTGTCTCTTTAGAAACCAAGACTAGTGACGTAGTTGATGCAGATGCCTTGGTGCTGGCCCTGGTGTTCAACGTTGCTTTAGCCAAAGTGATTGCTGGCACTTTGGACATAGGCTCCAATGGTGTAGTGATTATTGAAGTAGTGGAGGTGGCGGACGAAGTGGTCATGTTGGAGTTAAGTTCTTTGTTTACAGGTTTGAGTTGTATGGAGTTATTACTGGGATGCTGGATGTTATGTTCTCATCTAAGGTTTGCATACACACCATGTATAATGTTCCTTTTAATGAAAGATCCCTTGATAAGACACCTTAATTGCTTCCTGCAATGCACTGACTTGTGTCATTTCTTATTTTTCTATGTTTTTGTGGGACCTCCTTCACTTCAGTGTGTGGCACTGTAGTGGTAGACAGCTGAGTGCCTTGCACACTAGACATCGTAAGCTCATCCAAACTCACTCTCTCTGGCTCCTTAACATTTGATATTGGTGGGACAACCAATGATGAAGCTGCTGGTAGTGAACTAAAATACTTTGGAGTCCGAAAGGTCAGACCAATAGTTGTTACCTCTAGAGTCCACATGCCTGATGCATTGTCCAGCACTGCATCTTCATCCATTGACTTTGAGGACGTGAAAGGGAACGGGCTTGGAAAAATCCAAGTATCACTAACATCAAAGAGAAAATATTTGCCAGTAGTTCCTTCCATGTCGGTAATTCTGGGAAGGTATCTGTATCACAGAATACTAAAATAACACTGGCTGTTTCAAAGAATGAATATAACCAATAGGGTTAAGAACTTAACCTTAAAGGACCAACGTTGGGAATGAAAATGCAGAGTTAAACCAACACCAATTGTTCAGAAGAACTCGGTCAGAGAATGGGTTCAAGCAATAATGTTCCCAATACAAAAAAGGTTAATCCTGAAAGTTCCATAAGGACAAAGTGTGCTCACTTGTATCCAGCCCATAACATGATCCCCATAATCTGCTGACTCAAGCATCTTTTAGTCACAATCTTTACCATAACCTCTGCTGTCTCTGAGGTTGGTATGGCCTCGCTGATGGTCTGCAACCCTTGGGCACCCAACCACGTTTCTTCCACTGTCTTTTGGTAGCAAGTTAGCAATCTGGATCTGGTAAGAAAGAAATGGGGAGTGAAAGTATCCAAACTAGACCACATACCCACAGAAAATTTCGTGTCAAAATTTAATTGTTCCTTCCTTACACTAACGAAACCAACAGACTCACTGCTTCTTCAAGTAGTGTCTGTCAGGCCAGTATTCCCAGTTAACTTCATACGCTGTCTCAAACTCTTGTACTCTTCTTGCCTTCTAGTTATTTTCTCTGTGTTTGATATACTTTGTGTTGGTTAAAATATACAATGGCTTTGTGTAAAGTTCATAGATGTGTGTCACGCCTTGCACACACAAAGTCATAAACACATATTTTCATATACATAAGCATCCAAATTAACATATAACCATGCACTAGTAAACTCTGTCAGATCACCTCAGGTTATTTTGGCATTACCATAGCAATGACGCAGGCCACTTCCTAAAATTTTCTTCTGACAGTTAAAGTCCAGTAATGTGCTGCCATCTGTTAGTGGTGAGTCCCAACATATTTTTCCAGCTTGCAAAAACACTATTCAACTGACATTCACGCACCAGTACTAAAAGTGTTAATCCAGCCACAACCTTGCACATCAACATGCTTGTGAGGAATGAACACAGGCATAACACTAGAGAACAAAACTACATCAGAGTCTTTGCTCTGTGGAGGATCCTGCAGGATTTTTGAGGAAACCGCTGCTACAAATAAGGTTGGATATCTTTGCGCAGAAAATCACTGAGATGTTGGAATAAAAAGTACGTGCAACATCTATTTTAGTTGTCGGCATCCATACTAATCAAATGTCCTAAATATCACACATATGGCAAGTATACAGTGTAATGTCATACACTGTGTTGCACTCAGAAGGTAAAGGTCGCTAAGCCCTTTCAACCATTGGTTGTATGATCATTGACCATCCTAGCCTGTACAGGAGAAACCCTGCATTGGTTGTGAAGAAACCACTGCTACTCCATTAGATGGTTCTACTCTACATTATGGTTCTATATTAGATGATCTACTCAGTAGATCACATTGGTGCTTGGAAAGCAAGTGGAGTGCAATTTCCCTTTCTGTAATTGGCTTTTTCAACTGAAACAGCTTTAATATTACCTCAACCCAATGTTCATGAGGTTTTCACTGGCATCTCAGCTGACAACTCCAGCCATGAAGCCGCACCTTTCCTTTGAACTCTCAATCAGAATAAGTCCACAGGCCTGCAACTACATTTTCAGAAATTTTATTACCTGTCCACAGATCTGCTTACTTAAGACAGTTTTTCTGTCTAGAACCAAACAGGACATGGCCTACATCTTCAATGGCTCTTCTTTCAACCACTGACAGAGAATTTGGCCTCACTTTTACCACGATCTCCTGTCTAAAAACATACAGGTCCTGACCAAGGTTTTCAATAGCTTTTCTTTCAACCACCAGTAGTGAGATCAGTCTTGCCTGCCCCAAGAGCTCAAGTGGTTCGATGTTTTTTCTCTTAGCAGTCTATAAGTCCACCTCAGACTGGACAGCCTAACTCGATGGGGAAATCACTGAGATCTTGAGCTCCATGATACCGGGAGTTTTTTAAACAAATCAATCATCACCTCGGAGGGGGTTTGTGTTTCATTAGCTATATTTCTTGTCTCCCATTTGCAGGAAGGAGGGATCACATGCTATGTCACCTGACTGCAGTACCTATTGTTGAGGTGGATTTCATCCACCTGTGGCTAGCTAGGTACCTCTCCTCTAAGAGGTGTTCCTAGCCCACAAGGTACCAATCTTAACGTTAGCAAACACTTGCCATCTTGCCTGACAGCGAGCCAGCTCACAGTGATGGAGCGCATCCACTCCTCCCGTTCCTCTTGTGTGACACTCCATCACACTGGCTCTGCTACCGAGGTTTAGCTACAGGTGAAGAACTTCTGGGTGTTCCAGATGACCCTCATTCCTTTGTTTTCTGAATCAATAGCAGCAGAAAGATGGCCCGTATGGATCTTTGCAGCAATAACAAAAATATTACGTCCAGGCAAAGACTTTCCCATAATCTGACCATTTTACATAACTCATGCTCTTGGATGCACTTACCATCTTCTTAATAGGCCAGTATGTTTTTTTCTCTAGCCCTCTCATTAGTATTTCATACCCACAATAACCCAAGTTTGAATCCTGATCACAGCACCAAAATGGTTTGCGTTCCTCCTCTACTCTGTGGAATTTTGAGGATTTCGAAAACATCAATGAAACAACTTTATGAGGGTGAAAGGTAATTCTATGAATGTACATTGTGTTGTTTCTTAAAACTTTTGTATTATGGTAAATTTACTTGAATAGTAATTAACAGTTTTTAAAAACCCTAAAAACGGAAAAGAGAACGGTTGTGAAATGTGTAGTATCTCGATGACTTCTGGCAAAGCAGAAATGTCTCGTATGTGGTTGTGTTTCCTAAATAATGAAACAGGACACACAGATTTACACAAGGTATTAATCTTTAATTTACATCTCGACAGTTTACAGAAAACAAACAAAGTTCTATTACACAACGGAGGTTAAGTAATCGTGTGTTCATATGTGTATTAAAACAAAACGTTGTGTGACTACCGAGAGTGAGGAAAACTTTATTGAATAATAGGCTATTGCTAGTGCTCCCTTGTAATTTATGCTAGCCTATAAAAAAAATACTAATAGAGTGTCCACAAGTAAATATGTAACACGTGAAGTAAACTCTCAACTCAACCTTACTAAATAATAATAATAAATGCACTATAAATAAATATTTGTGCTCCATTATCCCGAACGGAAAATTATAAACAACTTGCTGACTGGCAAAGTTAAAAAAATAATTAAATACTTAATTAATTAAAAGGAAAAACCAATAAGCAGCCAGCACAAACGAAATTGAAAGTCAACTTGAAGAGAAGTGGAAAGTAAAATTGCATAAAAATCTACAAACTGTTACCAGCAATCGAAAGAAAGAATTTTAAGAATTCTCATATAGATGTGAAAGATACAAAAATACTGCATGAAAACCTGGTGAAAGTCTGCTAAAATCATTGTAAGATATCTGAAAATTCTAGGTAAATCTGGTGCAAAACATATTCTAGGTGAACTATTGTACAATCCAAGAAACATCTATGTGAATATGCTGAAAATCTGCGTAAAATCTAAGAAAAGTCTTCTCTGTCGAGCCCCAACACTGTTTAAAATATGACAACAAACCCTCGAGTTTCTGACAGAATATAACAATGATTGGTGTCTGATAGATGAGTTGGCCAATTGGCTGAGAAGATAACGGGTGAGTCCACCCACAACTACTGATTGATTCACCATCAAGAATAGACCGGTTTGGTAATTAAAATAATACATTGTTATTCTTGTAAGAAAACTAGAAAAGAGGGTGCCTAATCCCCATTTGACCCAGTTAGCCCTTGGGGGAATGTTAAAGTTATAAAAACTCTTGGGTAACGCAATGTTGCAATTTTAGGAATTATAGTGAATAAGAAAATAATAAGTGAACTATAAGGAGTGGAAAATATATATATAGTACAGTTTAATACTACAAAAATGACACGCTGGAGAAGAAGATTTAATCAAATAAAAACTACTTAAAGTTTCTACAAATTGAGGGTTAAATGCGATTATTTTATTTTTGAGTTCTCGTGAGACAATAACATAAAAGCGACGTGTTGTAATGAGTTCTAATCCGTTTTAAACTCATGTACCCTTTTGATCATCATGATCACGTGAATACTACAAACTGCCTCATGTTCGAAAGACACATCAAGTTAATGGTAGCATCAAACATGTGTTGTTTTCTGTATAAGTAGACGCTATCTTTGGTTGCTATATACTTCTATTTTTTAAAAACATTGCTTGGGTAGCTTATGTTTAGCTTATTGTTCACAAGACAAAATACGCTCATTGGATTTTATGAAATAAGTCATGACTGACGTATGGATGATTCACTTTATTGTTTTACGTGTATATTCTATATTAACAAAACTGACAAGTCTGATAACATTTACTTAGGATATTTTGTAAAATTGTATAAAACTTTGTACAATATGACTTCTTTTCTTCCTTTCTTTTTCTTTGTGTTCAATGCGAAGGCAGTATCACTTTTTTTTTACTTTTTGTTAGAAACGTAATAGACATAAATCCTACAGTTCTGGATCGGAAGAGTCTTACAGCAGTTTCTGTAGATTGAGCGAATGCTGTAGAACATAATTTGTACAACCCACAAATATGACTGGATGCCTTAACTTAGTAAATGTTTATTCTTGTCAGAGCAGAGCGCGCCACCAAAACACTTAGTTCTGTAATAGCTCTATGGACTTTGTTGTAAAACTATGAATGTTTTTAAGCATTATTTTAATATAAAATGTGTTTAGAAAAATCTAAACACGGACGTTAAGCTTCTTTTACAAACTGCAAGTTTGTAATAGTTTATCATATTTATTGTTTTAAGAGGTTTCTCTGAATACAAGATGAGAAATGTAGTTTGTTTTAAAACAATAAAAAAGGATATTTGTCTAAAAGAAATCTTTAGACATGTTTTCGTTATCCTAACGGTGACTTATATTTTAGATGCAACATACAGTTTATTTTTAGTCTTTTACTTGAACCTACGCAACTACAACTTATACACGTGGGACGATAGAGCCAGTGAAGTGGCCAGAAACAAAGGATTATTCAATCATTTCCCATCCTTTTTTAGGTTAGGCTGCTTCCAGACGTTATGCAATTATTTTAAGCATATTATTTTTATTCATTCATCCATTGACGGAATACGAAGACCCTTTTTCATATAGCATGATAGTAAAACAATTTTCTCATCAACGATCGACTTCAATATTTCTGAAACAACTTCTATTCTCCGCCCATCAGATAAGTCTCTTAAACACTTGCCAGTTGCATTTCAGTTTTTATATTTGCCAAACAAATCCTATATTTTAATATAGTTGTTAAAATAGGCATCTTGAAACCAACCTTGTTTGATAATTATTAATAAAATCCCAAACCTTATTACAATTACGAATATATTTCTGAATGTTCTCATTTATTTTAATGAATCTATAATTACATAATTCAAAAATATTATCTATATTTCTAGAACTTTGTAGTTCCGACATTTATAATAAAACGAAAATGGAGAATTGTAGTTTTTTCACAACTGACTCCATTTCTTTTCAATAAAATGTTACATTTTTTTATTTTTCATTTTTAATAGTCAATTGTTTGAGAGAAAACTACACTATACATGCATACTTTTACACAAAAACGAGTAAGATGACAATAAGGATTAGTTCTGAATAGGCATATTTAATTCATGTTCGATACGTTCCCAATTCACTGAAGTTACATCTTACATCTTTTAGCGGAATTGTTTCTCAAGAAATCACTAGAGACCATCATTATACAAGACTATTACTCACTAAACAGTCCAGTGACTTTATCTTGACTGTAAATCAATATGGTGGGTTGAATTGGTATTCTAATTAAAGTCAAAATACTCTTTCGCTCATTGTTTAAATATGGATGTTGATAAGCGATGTTAACATGAGCTTCTCTTCAGGACTTTTTTAAATGACAATTTCAGATATGTTTGTCTTCAAAATAGTCGGAATAAATTTTACGTAAAACTACCGGTTCTTTAATTTTGTCGACAAGTCAAGCAGTGGGTGATAGTAGAAAAAATAATAATTCATATTTTGCGTTATATTTTTAAAACATACTATCAGTTTCCAGTGTTAAGTTTTACACAACCTGAGCTCACTTTATCAATATGTTGTAGTCACCATTATCCATATAATAAATATTTTCGTCCATTAATTTATTTGATAAATATGATACTTTTTTAAATAATTTAACTAAATGGAACCTAAGAACTGTTCTGAAATATAAATTTTTTGCACTCGAACACAGTTTTTGCTTTCAAAAATTGGATACTTAATTATTTAATTATTATATATCATAAATATATTCTTTCTAAACTTACCATAGTAAACTTGCAACACGAAAAAGGCACGGCACATCGTTCTGGACTTTTATTAGCCCAAGAACAGTTGAAGTATGGATTAATGGACCAATCTCTGTAACCAGCTGGGCCCACACCACAACAGTGAAGCTGCAACAAACATAAAACAGTTGGAAACGTATGGGGTATCACAACTATTTTTTATAACGATTCTTTTAACTATATTGATGCTCAAAAATTTAAACAATTCGCTAACTTGCTATTCAGAAATAGTAACGTACGACTGTTTTTTGTACTCTATTTCTGTTAACAAAATTTTTAAATATATTCAGCATTTCCATCAATTACATAAAACAAGTGTATAATAATGATATTAAAACCGTAAAAATATTGGAAATTTCAGTTGAACATTACTGTAGACAGTACAGAGAAGATTAAAACACAACAAAACTTAATTATGTTTGTATGTTACAGATTTTTTTACTCTTTCACCATAGGTAAAAGTGCAAAGAGAATCGATAATGTAGACATATAAAGAATTATTAAAGAAATTGTACTGTATTTAATATCGAATAATGGATTACGATTTACATACCTAAATTAACTATATGATGAATTAAAAAGGATTCAAAAACCCCCTAAATCTTATTTATGAATCACCATTATAAGAGGCCTAACTGTATTTCTTTGATTTGTTGACCCAAGCTGCTGAGCCTTGAGTAGGCGAAACTGAAATCCACAGCAGAGGGTACGGCCAATCAGAAAATACACTTGACACCTACGTCACAGATTCTCTTTTCAATTTTACCTTTGGCAAAAAGGAAAATAAATATGTAACATACAAATAAAATCACTAAACAGTTTGTCCGCTTTATAATATCGAATAATAAATTAGGCGTAATGGCATGTTATTATTCACACACCTAAATTAATTTAGGCTATTGTATGATGAATTAAAAGGGTTAAAAAAAACAACCCTAAAACTAGATTTTAATAACTTTATGTTTGTCGATAAAAGTTTACGTATGAAACATAGCCTTATATACATAAAACAACAAGTAAGTTTGAATTATGAAGAAAGGGTTTACAAACGAACAAGTTAATACTCTCTCTTGAGAAGAATTGTACTTTCCAAGTAGCACCATAAGCACACTATAATGTTTCCAAAAAAGACAATGAGGCAAGTTTGAGCATTAAAAGATCAAGATAATGAACACTAACACATGATATATATACTTAATAACTGTGGAACTTTGGCAATGAAAGACTATCGTTTTACAAAATAATAGGTACACCAGGACAACATAACATTAAATGTAATTCTGTCCAATATCAAGAATGTCAACATTATTCCGCTGAAGATCAATTTCCTTTGTCAGTTTATTGCATTTTGCGCAAAGCTACTCGAGGGCTATCTGCGATAGTCATCCATAATTTAGAAGTGACAGACGAAAGGGAAGGCAGCTAGTCAATACCACCCACCGCCATTCCTTGGTAACTCTTCACCAACGAAAAATGGGACTGACTGTCACATTATAACGCACAGCTGAAAAGGCGAACATGTTCAGTGATGGAATTCAAACCCGCGACCCGCAGATTGCGCGTCAAGTGTTCGACTTACAACGATTCTATAGAAAACCATAATTCAATAGACCTAACTATTCTGCATTTATTATCATTATTTCTGGTAGATCAAGTTACCTTTTAGTGCAATTTAAATTATATTTTATGACATTACAAACATAATTATTATAAAAAAATAACTTATAATATTAATGTGTAAAATGCAATGACTTTGTGATATGCAAGTATTTTAACTGTGATCTACAACTATGGCCAACTTAATCATACCCTGCTTTTTCACATATAGTTGAAATGTGCTAGTGTGTTTATAATTCATCACATACGCTACTGACAAAAATTGACAATTTCTACTACAGAATAACATTTTTGTCTAGTAATTAAATTTTTTTAACAATATCGACGTACAGATAGCTGGTAAAGATATTTTTAAATTAACTTAATCCTGCTGACAAATTATTGTTTCGATCATTTCAAGCGCAGTTTGCTTCTTTCTTTTTTTCAATAGTGTACGCCGGCATGCGTTAAAACAATATTAATATCCAAACCGATGAGATTCGATCTCATCTTCTTGTGAACCACGATAATGATCTACTAAATCTGCTATTACGTGTTTTTGATCGAAGGTAATTCAAAGTTCAAAGCACAGGATTTATTTGTTATTTTATTCTATTATAATAATCATATATCATAAATGACTATATATCGGCATACATTGAAATACTAAATCCAAAGTACAAGTTAACTTCTAAATTTAAAGTATCATTTAGCTCGGTTTCAGACCATTTGAAATTCTAATACGTAACATCCGTTATTAGTGTCTAAATTTATTTGTAGCAGAACAAAGCTTAAAACACAAGGAGTTTAATGTTATATCTTGTTAAATGAGGTAAGCATTGTTGTGTTCAAGTGCCAATAACTTCTCAAATATTACTTTATCATCATGCACACTCATGATCTGTTGGAGATGTGATAACGCGATATTCTCTATCTTTGTGTGTGTGAATAAACTACATTTGACACGGCGCCATTTCGGGTTTGAATATTTCATCGTCAATACACTGTGTAATGCTAAATACGTAAAGATTTTAACTGGTGAACTAAGTAGCACTTAGAGGAGCTCATTGGAAGTTTGCACTTAAACCTCAAGAAAAATCGATTACAGCTGGCATTCATAGGAATACACTAAATTTTAACTCTCACTAGAAAATGAAATAATGTCAGCATCTTCAATTTTTGGTATTAACTTACGTTCATCTGATATATGTCACCATGAAATGTTATCAAAATGATGGTTATGAAATGTCGTGATCAATAATTTCTATCCCAAAAATGTCAGCGTTTTTGTTAACATATTGCAATTATCGCATCTTTAATGTGTCCAATGTTGTCATGCAAACACTTGAAAACTAATATTTGATGATGCATTTCCACTAACTGAACTTTAGAAAAAGAAAAGCATATTTAGTTAACTCATTTCTACGCTAACCAGACCATTTTCAACTATATTATTAAATACATTACTTGACTTAACCCAAGTTGACCTTACTTTTATAATATTAAATTGTACGGTCAACATCATGACCTGAAGTTTTCAGTCTCTAGCACGTGATCAAAGTCGATAGACCAACGCCATATAATAAGTAAACAGAGCCGTCGCGACAGAGGTGCAGCACGTGCATTTGCACAGCGTGACAAGTTCTTGGGGGCGTAATGTGTAGAATTCCTATAATGGCAGAAGAGCCGGGATGGGGGTGGGCGGCACAGTTAGTGTTTGCACAGGGCGACAAAGCACGTCTTGCCGGCCCTGTAAGTAAAGAAATATAAAATAACATTAATCTTCATTTACTTAGCACAAAATTAAAGTGACTTGCAATAATTATAAAACAATCAGCGTCGCGATCTATTAGTCCACTCACAAACATGAACTGAACTTATTATAACTTATAAGTTACTCTGAGTCATGAGTTAACTGATTAGCAACTTCACCAGGTAAAGGAAAAACAGTCTGTATACCATCTCTAAATAGGTCCTTGCCCTTTATGTACTTTCGGACATTGAAAGAATTTTTTTTTTTTTTTGAAATGCAAAAATTATTTTCTATTTAGGTTCTCATTTTCCATGATTCTACGCTTAACGTTTCTTACATAAGTCACACATGCTAGTTGTTACTTACAGAGCTTTGAACGTAGTTGACAAGGTGCTCCAGTTCTGAATCCTCTCGGTACATGACCAGGGCATGGCGCAGGAGGGGCTCGGGGCTGATGTTCAGATTTATGTCTGTGTACATCACTAGTACCACGAGAGACCCGATTGATAATAGTATCAGCACTAGCAGCACAAGGGTAATAACGTACTGTAGAAGAAAAAAGGCTAATATTAGAAAGCACGGTAATATCTTCAAAGTTTTAGTGAGATTTTACTATAATATTTTCTTTAAATAGTAATAAATAAAATGTTTTAATAACTTTCATGACTTTACTAAGGTTTCTCCCTTAGATACGACTTTGTTTTTGTTTTTTTTTTCGTTATTTTAAAATTTCACTAAATATAAAAACATGCGGAAACAACTGGTACATGATTTCCTCTGAGTTAAGTGGTTCATTAACTCGAAGCTTCTATAATGCTTTAGAGACAAACCACACTTTCTTTTCGTCAGTGTTTAAACTAATAAATTGATGTGCTCTTTAAACCACCGAGTTAAGTAAAGGAATATATAAATATATATAAAAAGACTAATGTTTGTATTTTAGTTGAATTTCGCGAAAAGCAACTCGAAAGCTTTCTGTGCTAGCCGTCTTTAACTTAGATAAGGCGGATAATCAACACCACCCACCGCCAACTCTTTACCAACGAAAAATGGAATTGATCGTCACGTTAGAACGCCTCATGGTTGAAAGGACAAGCATGTCAGGTGACCGTAATCGAACCTGCAAATTGCGAGTCAAGCGCTCTAACCACCAAGCCAAGCTATTATACAATATCAAATTTTTAATATATCGGTAAACAACTCAAAATAACGTATATTTTTACATCTGCAAATGTAAGCATTTTCAGGTGACGTTGAATCTATCTTTTCATTAGAAAATTACGTACAGTTTCTTTGTTTTATAATTTTCGTGAAAGTTACACACAGGACTATATAGGCAATTTTGAGCTAGTCAACAACATCAACTGCAAACACTTGCGCTACACTTGTTTGACCGACTCTATAAGCGCACACACACGGCCCCAAATAGAGTAGTGCATTTTTGAAGCAATGTGACATAGAACATGAATGTTCAGATTCACTGTCTAAGCCCGTTAATCACTCGGCCACACCCATCTCATTACATACAGAACTAAAGCTAAGTTAGGTGGTTAGACAGTTATTTATCAGTGTAAGACTAGAGGGAAGGCACTAGTCATTACTACCCACCGCCAACTCTTGGGCTACTCTTTTACCAACGTCACATTATAACGCCCCCCCCCCCGGCTGAAAGGGCGAACATGTTTGGTGAGACGGGGATTCGAACCCGCGACCCTTAGATTGCGACTCTAGTGCCCCTTTTTGAAGCAATAAGTCTAACGTTAATTGATAATACTATACTATGGATGTTCCAACGAGAAATATAATTTCTCCAGGTTTGAATCTACTTTAACTATGGCGCTACCAATCAGAAAGTGAGATACACTGATGAGGACGATTAAACGTATTATTGTTCTTTATGGGTTTTACAGATAAAAATGGAAATTAATTTACAATGATTATGGACAAACTTACAGATCGAAGAACAATTGGTACATTTTTTTGCAATCCTTCAAAATTATCCCCGAAACAAATATGCGTCACGCAAAACACCAAATGAACATCAAATTTCTGCCTGACGGAACTAAATGGAGATGTTAAAAATGTTCCTGTAATGAATTACATTCAATTAGGAAGAGAACCTGGTTAGAAGGAACAACACTCCCTCTGAAAAATATAATTATATCTATATATTGCTGGTCCAAATAATACACATGCATCAAATTTTGCAAAGGTGAACTACAACAATTATTTGAGAGAGGTGGTAGACTTTTATCTGTGTGAATTCATTTGGCGTCATAGAAACCGAAATGAAGATATGTTTAAGAAAATTATGTGATATTTCCAAGTTCAAGTGTTAATTTCAGTACTATCTTATCATTTCTCCGAAGAAATAGACATATTTTTGAATTCAGCGTATGAAACTGTATTAGAATAACGTTTATTAAGATAAAAATTTAACAGTTCATCAAACGGAAAAGCGCCGAATATTATTTCAAGAGCAGCCAAATGGAAGAATATCATAAACAGAATTATAGATGTTGTCCTTTTCTTGGGGGAGAGAGGTAGCCTTTCATGGATCGTCACAAAGGATTGGTGCACCTGATAATGATAATTTTTTAGGAATAATTGAGCCGCTCAGTCATTACGATCTAGTTCTCATGTAGAGAGAATTGTAGAACCTCAGCAAGCAGGTTACCGTCTTCAAGCCCAATACTTGTCAGGTGAGTCCAAAAATGAATTCATAGCAACTTATGCTCAGCATGTAAGTCAGATTATTTTAGAAGAAAGACTTGTAGCAAAATACTTCGGTATCATAGTAGATGCAACACCTGATTCATCTAATCTAGAACAAACAACTTTTATCCTGAGGTATGTTCTTCCTTTCTCATTCAAAGAAAGGTTTCCAAGAGTTGTTGATCGCAATAAGAAGGCCGGGGTTAATATATTACGTGATTGCTTAGTTGATCATGAAATACCAATAATGGATTGCAGAGTTCAAGAATATGACAATGGATCCAACATGGCTGGTGAATATAATGGGGCTCAAGCTTTATTGCTCAAAGTTAATTCCCTGACTAAATTCTCACCGTGTGCTTGTCATAGTCTCAATCATTGTGGAGTACAAGAAGCAGAAAGTTGCATAGAGGCTCAGACATTCTTTGGAATAGATCAAAAGCTTTATAATCTATTTGGTTGTAGCCCACAGCGATGGAGCATTCTTCTCAAGAATATAGGCTGTTCTCTTCATGGACTTTCGGGAATACGAAGGATAGACAGAGTGGATAGTATCAGGCCTTTTGCATCTCATCTTCCTGGGATTCTGGATGCACCATCAGAAATTCTCAAACTCAATATTACATCTTAAACAAGAAGTGACGTCAAATTTATAACTGACTATGTGCAGTCATTTTCTCTCTTCTTGCATCTTGACGGAAGAAATCTGGTTAAATGTACTTGTGATCATCGATCAGCACAATCAAGTATTGCAGGCCCGCAAAGCTATCATTGATAGTTAAGTGAAAGCCTGTTGACTAATCTAAAAGCACTGCGTGAACACTGGAGGTCAATTCTTAATGTAGCTAAATTGGTTGCAATTCATTTAAAATTCTTTAATAAAATTGTTTGGAATTAAGTACAAAGCTATACAATAAACTATCCGTGCTCTGCCCATCACGGGTATCGAAACCCAGTTTCTAGCGTTTTAAGTCAGCAGACATTCCGCTGTGTCACTGGGTGGGGGGGGGGCTCTTTAATCAGAGATTTTTGAGATTTCCTTTTAGGCAGCAACGTGTTTGTGTGTTAGTGCATTTGTCAATTGTATGGTGATAGAATTAATCTGTGATTCCTTAAAAAAAATGTTTAGCCCATTTTCATCTGAGTAGCTTGTTGAAATGTCATTAATAGTGACTAGGACATATATTCAAGTTGTTTGTTATGTATACAACGAATAAAAACAAACATAATAAAACAATGATTAAACATACCGATAGTGGTTCAAAATAGGAATCGCAAAGAATTGCACAAAACTCTAATAGACCGTTCGGAAAAAGAACCTTAAATTAAACTGGAAACATTTAAAAATTCACAAAAAATTAGACTAACGAGGAAAACAAAATCCGTTCAAAACAGCCCGATTGTAATTCTTCTTTTTATTATTTTCTTGCCAGCTTAAAAAAAAACACAAAAAAAAACGGCTTGGTATATTGCACTTAAACCTTCTTTTGTAGAATCTATATAAATATAATAGCACTGTCTGTTGTATGTCCATGTAACTACTTCGCAGGGTGTGGATGGATCTTCACCAAAATTGGTATGGAGGTTCATTAGGTCCATGTGAGGGGTACATACAAATTTTCAGTTTTGCAGTTTTTATGGGCGTTTTTAACACTTCTTCTCCCTCTGCAGATGGATCTTCACTAAATTTGGTAAGGAGGTTCATTGGGTCCATGGGGAGATACATACAAATTTTCAGTTTTGCAGTTTTTATGGGCGTTTTTAACACTTCTTCTCCCTCTGCAGATGGATCTTCACTAAATTTGGTATGGAGGTTCATTGGGTCCATGGGGAGATACATACAAATTTTCAGTTTTGCGGTTTTATTGGCATTTTCTTACCACTACCTCACCTCCTATGAAAGAACCTTCACCAGATATGATGTAAAAGTTCATTGGGTCTATGGAGAGACACAAACAAATTTTCAGTTTTGCATTTTTGGTTTTGCGGTTTTTATGGGCGTTTTGTGTTTTCGCGTTTTTTTACCACTACCTCGCCCCCTGTTGATGGATCTTCACCAAATTTGGCAAGAAGGTTTGTTGAGTACACGGGGAGATACACACAAATTTCAAGTTTTGCGGTTTTTATGACCGTTTTTGCATTTTTTACCACTACTTCTACCCCTGTTGATGGATCTTCACCAAATTCGGCATGAAGATTTTTGAGTCCATGCGGAGATATGTGGAAATTTGCTGTTTCACATTTTGTGTTATGCAGTTTTATGAACATTTTTGCGTTTTTTTACAATTACATATAAGGGAAGCAACTTTTCATTTCCTAAGATAACCTTTCGTTAATCATGAATTTACATAACTTCCGTTAGTTGTTTACAAATATCTAGTGTACCTTTAAAAAGCTTAAGTACAGAGTGAAACTGGAATTATCAGCCAATAGCAGATGAACATTTGATGACTATAACATGTAGATGCTCAATGCTTTGTACACTATAAAAACAGTGTCTTTAAGGAGCCAACCCCTATATTACGTATGAAATGAAAACAGTATAAGCTAGACTACTAACTATGCATATTGTCATTACAATGTATACAGTTACCTACCATATCAAGTAATCTTTTGCCCTTAGTTGAGCATAAATAAGCCAGCGAACAAGATAAATTAAAAATTGGGAATTTAAAAACCTGCAAATAGGGGATCATAAAAAACGTAAGGAAACAAGGCTGGAGATACTGTAGACATTATTTACTCAAACTATAAACTCCTATTTCGGCTCCATTCTGTTACCTAGAATTACAGTTGGTGGAGTCAGAATAGGGATTTGTGGTTTGAATAAATTATGTCTACAGTATTTCCAGCCTTGTTTCCTTACTTTTTTATTTGTCAGTTTTCAAATTCCCAATTTTTTTATTTATCTTATAAAACAATGGCTAATACACTATCTCTCGTAAACCTAATGCCTCGTTAAGGTTATGTAGAGACATGCCCCGGCAATGATCCAGTGCTATCTATTCTTACCGTTTTTAAAAGGCACGCATTCTCCCTCAGCGCCCCCACACATCCAGAAGTGGCTGTAAAAAACACTGCTGTTCCAACAAGCATCATTGCAATAGCCGGATCAAGTATGACGTGAAACACGTGTCTCACTGGTTGCATGTTGTCGACGTAAACATAGAGTCCCATGGCTACCATCGCTACTCCTAGTACCTGGGAAACAAAGAGCATTGTTGAAAGGACAACAACCCGATTTATTTTCTTTGTCTGACAACTGTGTTAAGTATTGTCTATGAAAAATACGCGTTTTAAATATAGATTATGAGCCACATCACAAGGTTCTCGTCATTGAGATGGTACGTAATATTTATGGTCCAAAAAGAAAGAATAAACTGACTAAGATTGAGAATTAGGGAACGCGGCAGCTCTTTTATATATCGTTTTATATCATAATTGTAACCAAACTGCAATGAAACAGTGACAAAATAAATTAATAATACAACAGAGCAATCACTTTATTTATGTCTTATGTCGAACATAATGAAATAATCTACAATGTTGGACAGTAATAGTGTAAAACTGTGAATCAATAAAGTGGCATTGCAGTAAGAAGTTACTTTGAATATTGAGTCTTTTACTCACTCCACATTTAACATCGTAAAATGTATCGTAAGTTATAAGGAGAAAGTTTTAAACGTAAGTATTGATTGGGATACTAGAAATATCTATACAATTATTTTTATTTATGTTTTAATTTTGAGTATGTGTTCGATTGTTTAGAGAACAGTTTATTTAAGTATAATAAATTATTCATACATTTAGACCAACAAATTTGTTACAGCTATAATCGCAAAACTGTTTAATATTTTGGGTGTATTTGTTTGATATTCTCGATTTAGAAAAAGTGATCGTGCTCTCACCTTTGATAAAATTAGTCTCCTGTGAAGAACAAATAGCGTACATAAAGTATAATAACTCCTTAAGGAGAAACTTTGGTGAAGTAATTAATCTGTTACACTTTAAACACTCAAAACTGAACCTTACATACAAACCTTTTTTTAATAGAAATTTTAATGTAAAGAAATATTCTAGTTAGTTCAATAAATCATATGAAACGTGTATTTTTATGGAGTTCATTTACTAGATAATTTACTCCACATAAATATTGTTTGATACACTTCCGCATAGTTATTAAAGAATTCATATTGCCCTATATACATTTGCTTTTTATAGTTACGGTTGTTACGGTTATTCTCTTGTTTATTTTCAGCTTGGACGCTGCTGTGTTCTCTTGAACTATAATAGTTTTTAAACATTTATTAAAATCACGTGCGAGGTCACTGCGAACAGTCTATGAGAGGTTCAATTTAATGTCATTCTAATGAATATTATAACAGTTAACACTAGTAATTCGATAACTAGAAAGTCCACTTGTGATAAATTCAATCATTCTGACTGCAAAAATCTATTTCTTTAATTTGGTCTTAACTTGTTTACTACATTAGAACCATCTTACTATTACAAAATAATCAAGACTCAGATATATAATATTTAGTAATTACGAATATATATATACTTTGAAAACTTACCCAGTAAGTGAAATTCATCGAAAACAACGTGTATTTGATCAAGACTGTCGTATTCCTTCTACAGCTTGTTGTCATGATGATTTTCCTCAAGCTCACCAAGGGGCTTCAACGATATTAGCTAGTAAAGAAAATCGTTGCTCTAAAAAGAAAAGGGCATGTAATTATAATAATATTACATACAGCACAGTTTGAAAACAATAGATTCAAATTTTAAACTGTGCATGCCACTAATGAATAATATACAATTATTCAGAACTGTCAATCAAACAGTATTCAGCATAAACACATATCGGTATGGTTACCTATTTGGAATTGTCAGATATATCTTATTCGTTTCTGATAATAGAAACCATAAAATCCAATACACACAAAACTATACAAAGGCATGTATGGCATCAGTATGATAACACACTCGCTTACATATCCTACAACACCTCATCACCTCATGGCTAAATTTTTGGTTTCTTCGTTGCCCTTATATTATCATCTGGTGTTACAAGTTTGACGTGAGTATGGAAGTAAAGAAACGATAACACCGAGCATTATAAAAAAATAAAGATGCTCCAGTGTTATTCAATACCCAGTTAATAAATTATTTTAATAATTTCTCGTTAGCTTTAAGTTTTATTTATTTGATTTTTTACTTTACAAACTTCAGCAGGTTAAACATTAACTTTCCTGTTTCTTCTTAGCATATACAGAATATAAATAAAGTATGGATAAACTTTATTATGAGTTGTATCTCTTTTATTGTTTTTGAACAGGTCATTATGGATGATAAAACATTTACGAAATATATACAAAATACTTCTATTTCGCATTCAAATGACCTACATATACAGTCTTCACTAATAGACGATATTATGTTAAGGTATCAGTATAACAACAGAAACCTGAACACATCTCTCTACTGAACAACAACAAGGTATAATTTTCATCGAAACAAAACAGCGTGAAACGAGATCACCAATAAACATCTTAAAGAGCACGTTAGAGCGAAATTATTAAACCAGGAGAGCGCGTAACCAAAAACCTATACAAAGTTTCGTCGCACCAGGAATACATGTAAGAAAAATACTAAATTCAATTCTGTAATTCTGAAAAAACATCAGAATGAAACTAATTCACACATTTATAAAACAGAACGGTACTTTAAAATTAAACTGACCATGTGTACTAAGAAAATACAGTGCATACTTCCACCAAACAATAATAATAATAATATCAACAAGAAAATATATTATACACTTCCAATAAACAGGATTAATATCAACAAGAAAGCTATAGTACACACTTCCACCAAATAAGGTTAATATGAACAAAAAATCTATAGTACACACTTCCATCAAACAAAGTTAATATCAACAATAAACCATAATATACACTTTCATCCAATATAAAAAATAACAACTATATAACATACTATCACCAAACAAATAAGAATAATATCAACAAAAAAATATATCACACACACATTCATGAAAACATCACTGCATGTGACAAGCACACTGTGACACACTATCTCATTTTTGCATTTAACATGCAACATGAAACTTTCTGTAGACATTCTGGAACATAGTGTAACAAGAAATAAGTTATAAGTGTACCAAAGATATGTTATAACGCAAAGTATAAAAAAACATGTTTGCACAAAGTGTTAGTGAGAGATACGAATCACTTCAGATTATCTTCTAATAGTTCGTAACACACCTTCCCAGAACACTTCTAATAAACTGTCAGCCACTCGACCACATCAAACTTGTATGTCATGAAAGAAAAACAGCAGTAGAAAATACTTGAGTGAGGAAGCACGTTATGCTAATATAATTACAAAGAAGACAGACCAATATTTTTCGAAACATGTAGTATGTTCCACCATCAATAAAACTCTTCCTTATGCTTATAATTCGTTGTTTGTCTACCTATTATTAACAGTAGAAAATATTAGTAAACTATAATTTAATCAAAATGATAAATAGTTATACACATCCTTACTGAATCAAACCACTAATGTAGGAATACTACTGTCTCTGAAATACACAGTTGTCACATAACTACTGGTCTGTGTTATGTAAATTTAAACACAAACTATTAGTTAGATAGAAGACGTTGACTCTCTATATATTCTCAAATGAACAACTGCATAATATATATATATATATATATATACACAGAAATGTTTACATCGTTGTGCAAATGTGTCAAGATACACCACACCTAACCATCCGTTTTTTCTCCGGGCAAGTATACTTTATTATTCATGCTCAGCAAGCAAATAAGTAGACAATAATTTCTTTGTCTGTGACAGGCCAACCTGATATCCGTGTTACTCATACTGAAAAGGTGCTACTTTGTCCCTGAAAGTGTATGTTTTTTTTTGCACACACTTTGTCAAGTTGAAGATTTTGTCGTGTTTGATTGACCTCGTCACACACAGCAACGACAGTTATGACGAAAATTTCTTAAATTTAAGGGTATATGAAATTTAACAAAACATTATTTTTGGTATTGAACATATTGATATTTCTTTATATTATGTATGTTCCTTTTATGTTGACGAAGTGCATAGTAGTTTCTATTCTGCCCATATATTTTATCAATACTTCTTGGTATTTGTTCAATGAAAATATTACTGACTTCTTTATAGATTATTTAGATGAGGTGAAACAAACTTCATGTTTTAGTTATATTTAACTGGGGTTTTATTGACAATATTCAAGTTTGAGAATTTTATTTCACCTTATTCCTATTTTCTTGAATGATAAAGTAGTCTAGCTCTGGTACCTCGAGATTTTGGGTTTTGTTGTTTTAAGGATTCCACGCTTTAATTTTCCCCACTGGTTCAGCGGTAAGTCTGAAGACTAATAACGCTAAAAATCGGGTTTCAATACCCGCAATGGACACAACAGATAGCCTATTTGTGAATTTTTCTGTTTAACAACAAAAAACAAAATATATGCCCTAATAATAATTTAAAACAAAGATAACGGTTATAATCACATTAAATATAACAAAGCTACATGACTGTTGACCTCAAAAATAAAATTATAAGGAGATTTCTTTCTTAAACCAAATAATAACAATATCAAGCCGTCACCTTCTAAACTTTATCAAAAGCTTATTGAAAATCTAAATACAACTAGTCCACACCTTTTCCATCGTCCAGATAATAAGTGATATTCTCGAAAAAGATAACAGGTTAGTAAGGCAAAATTTCCTTTTAATGAATACATTTTGACTTTGTTTTATACTATCAAATTATCTAAATAATTTTGTAAACCTTCTTTTATCAGACTCTCTCGCATTTTTTCCACTATAGAAGTTAGACTAACTGGCCAATAATTTCCAGGGAAGTTTTAACACCCCATTTAAATACATAGGAGTAACATGAGCAAGTTTCCACTCTACAAGGTTCCTACCCATTGTCTATTCTTCTATTTTAAAAAAACGAAAAAGAGAGGCTCACATATCTCATCTTTGCCCTCTTTTAAAACTCTAGAGAAAGCATTATCTTGTATCAATGCTGTAACTATTTTAGCCCCCCAGTGGCACAGCGGTATGCCTGCGGACTTACAACGCTAGAAACCGGGTTTCGATACCCGTGGTGGACAGAGCACAGATAGCCCATTGTGCAGCTTTGTGCTTAATTCCAAACAAACAAACAACCTACTTTTAATTTCTTAATTTTCTATTTACAGCCAATCCCAATATTTCCCATAAACTGCTGAGGCCAGGAATATCGCTAATATCATCTCTTGTAAAACAGAGAAGATAAACATTTAAAAGCTCAGTCATATTATGGTATTCAACAAAAATATTGCCATCAGCAACCTTTAAGACCCAATTCCCATTTTAACTGTTTGCTTATCTTTAAGATATTTAAAAGTATTTTTGCTGTTAGCTTAATATTATCAGTTAAGAGTTTTTAGAAGCTCTTTTTGAATTTCATAATTTATTTTTAACCAAATCCCTAGCTTTCCAACATTTTTCTAAATCTGCCAGCCTATCTGCCAATTTAAGTGAATTTAAACTTCTTAGATTTGTTGCATTTATCCTCAATATTCTCCTTTATGTCTTTAGTAAGTCAATTAGGTTTAATATTCCCTGTTCTTAAGAACATATCTATTTTGATTTAAAAGCAATATATCTTTAAAAATTTCCCTAATCTGTTTCACATCACTTTTTAACTCATTATCCTAATTCACCAATAACAAATCGTTTTCCATTACTTCAACATTGGCTTTCTGGAAATTAGGAACTAAAGTGTCATTTTTTTTATCTCAAAATTATGCAATGATCATTCTTCTCCAAGTGTTCCCCACTTCAATTTTTGCAGCCATATCCTCAATAGTGACCAACAATAAGTCTAAAATGCATCACTTAGTTATTTCTCTGTTTGTTATAGAAAAACCTTAATCACTATAAGAAATCTCTCTCATTGTTTAACTAAATGCAATCCTAATCAATGTAACTGGAATTGAAGTCTCTCGTAATTTATGAATCAGTATTCTTGTACAGTACTTATGATAACTCCCAATTAAAACTTTTAACCGCTGAAACTCCAGACAATATAATTTCAAGTGGTGCCTAACACTAGCAAAACATTTTTCCTTACCGTGAAAACTACCCTATAATCCCATCTAGCCCTCCTGCTGTTCTAAGCATCATATCCTTGATAATATTTTATTTTAGCCTCCAATCTGCTAAGTAATTCATTCCCCCATTTATTGTGCTGATGAAGGGTGATCTATTGATTGGCAGTTTGTATGAAATACAACTATCTGTAAAATGAAACACACAAAAAAGATAGAGTGTATACTGAGATAACCCCCAAATATTAAAAAAAACTATTAAATGTAATGAATTGCATAAGACGATATGTACTGTGATAATTGATTTATTGTAAACGACTGATATAAATAGCGTTTCGATTGAGACTTTGTGAATTGTATTCCCAGCTAACCCGTGGAACTTTGGTATTGAGCAAAAGGTCTTGTCTGCAGTGGCGCACAAGATGTGCGATCGAGATGCTATTATGTTTCTTCTTATTTTAAACCTGTAGTATAGGGCCAGTAAAGAAGAATATGTAAAAGCTATTATCAGCCTGTCGTTTTCTGAATTTCGTGCAAAGCTACTCTA